ACAATAATATTTGGGAAGATTGTAGGGCAGATCATAAAATTATCAATCTGTGAAAACAATGCAGTAATAATCAGAATTCAGCATGGATTTATCAGGAACCAATTTTGTCAGGCTAACCTTATCTCATTTAATAACCTGATAAATCTCCCTTACTAGATTGTGGGAACGATATAGAAGTATCTTGAATTCAGTAAAGCATTTGACAAAGTATTCAATGGCATCCTGATTAATATGAATTGTATGGCATACAATTAAGCAAGTACACAGCTGACTCAAAAATCTTATCCAGAGAGGGCTCATCTATGGCTCTTTGCCAAACTGAAGTAGTGAGTGGGATGCCACAATATTCAATCCTGGATCCTATACCTGAAAACATTTTTAGATGAAAAGGTGAGGGGAATGTTTATAAAATTTGGTGATAACCCAAATGGGTGAAATAGACAATATCCTAGAAGACAGAAATAAAGTTCAGACTGATCTCCGTAGGCTAAAGAAGCGGCTGAAGAGAATGAAACTTAATAGAGACGATAGAGTTCTTCCTTTAGGAAACAGAAACTAAATGCATCCTAAATGTGTAGGAGGGGACATATCTGGGGCTGCTGCAAATCCTTTGAAAGAGGTGCTTCATAACACATGGGAATATGTATGAAGCATGATTCAGACAAACTGGGAAAAGTGCAGATGAGGGTAATGAAGATGATCAGGGGATGAAATCTAAGATTTCTGAAGAAAGATTAAACAACCAGGGAAAGTTTAGCCTACAGAACACAAGACTAAAGGGGGATAGGGAGATAGAATAGCACTCCTCAGATACTTAAAAAGGTGTCACACACAAAAAAATTCAAAACCTGTTCTCCATTATTGAGATACAGGACTGAATGTCAGAAAAAAAACCTTCCTAAAAACTACAGCAGTTCAACAATGGAGCCAATCCCCTTGTGAGGTGGTGGTCTCCCCTTCACTGGACATCTTCAAGTAGAGGCTGGAGGACAGCCATCTGTTGGGAATGTTTTAATTTGGATTCCTGCAATGACTGGGGGTGGGGGGGGGACTCAATGTCTTAAAGGCCCCTTCCAATGATATAATCTATGAACTATCTTCTTTCATAGCTTCTACCAGTTTTGCAATAGCAATCATTCCACCCCTGAAATTTTGGGTCACGTTAATCAAATCCAAATGAAACCTCTCAGACAATTCTTGAGTATCAAATGATTACATCTGTTTACAAAGAAAAAGCTTCAAATGTGTTTGGAAAACCAATAAAGGCAACAACTTACTGTAGTTCCCCTTGACAAAAAGCAGACACCCAGTGGATGAAAGCTGCAGACACTGATCATTCCTTCCTGTCCGCTCTATGATGTCAGTAGTAAAAAATTATTGGATGTGTTAAAATAATGGTTTGCAGCAATCCTGTGCCTGTTTCAAGTATGTCACACTTGATTGCGGCATTGCAATCCAAGGAGGAAACTATAGGACTTTTCAGGATAAGCCAGAGAATATAAAGTTTGCTGATTACCTTGAAAAGGGATCAATTGAAAATGACTCCTTTAATATATCTAGCAATGAAACATTCAATGCTGATACTTAATATAAGTTTTGCATACCAAGACATTTGGCCACCAAGAAGGCTCATCTAAGGAACAAGCTGGTTTGGAAGGTCTATTTTCTCTCAGTAAATCTTGAGGTCCAGCCCATTTAAACAGCAGCATCCCAGGTGACTTCACCAATTTTGGAAAGCTAAACAGTTTCAGGCTTGGTTAATACTTGGGTGAGAGACCACTAGGTAATACCCAAACTCTTAACTAAACCAGGAAGGCAAACATACTAGAAGAAAACGGCAAACTGTTTCAGCTCTGTTGACACAAAACTATATGGATAGGTCTATGAAGTTACTTGGAATCAAGTTTGACTTGAAGGAGAACATTTTATCAGGTCCACAAACTGGATATCAGTACAAAACAATGGCTCAGCAGAGTGATTAGACGTGTAGAATGAAGTCAGCTGAATGAAGTAAATTCAGTCTAAGAATTTGTTCTCAGCGTCAGAATTGACTGGAGGGACTTCTTATGAAAGTCCGTTCCTAGATTTTACTGAAGCATAAATTGTGCTTGGTTCTCTGTTTGCGTTGTGTTCACAATGGTTTGTGCTCACATTTTGGAAACCTAGGCCTATTTCTTCTTCATACTTATTACAGTACTCTTCCTTTTCTCTCTTTCTCTCTCTATTCCCAAATTAAAATAACACTTCATACATCTGCTGAAGTGGACTCTAGTCCACAAAATTTATGCCAGAATTAAAAAAAAAGTTTTACAAACTAAGCACCTTGTTTAACCACCCAGGATCTATTGTTATTATTACTATTACTTTTGTTGTTCTTACTATATTATTTATTTATTTGTCACACTTCTATAACCGCCCATCTCACACAAAGCAACTCTGGGCAGCATACAACAATAAATAAAACAGCAAATAGATAAAAAAACAGTCATCATAAAAAGTTAAAAAGTAATGATTAAAATAAAAATATTATCAAAAATTTTAAAATATACAAACCCCCTAAAGTCATGAAGGGCTCTAAACCAGCACCATGAATTGGACCCAGAAGCAAACTGGTTGCCAATGCAGCTCACGAAGCAGAGGTGTAATATGTGCTCTTCTCAGTGCACCCATAACTGCCCGTGTTGCTGCATTCTGCACCAGTTGAAGCTTCCAGATACACTTCAAGGGCAGCCCCACATAGAGCGCATTACAATAGTCAATCTGGAGGTGACTAGGGCATGAGTGACTGCGAGCAGACTATGTGCAGAGCCTCCCAATCCAGGAAGGGGCGCAATTGGCACACAACACAAAGCTGTGTAAAGGCCCTCCTAGCCACGACTGCTACCTGCTTTTTGAGCAGGAGTTGCAAGTCTAGGAGGACCCCCAGATTATGCACTAGGTCTGTCTGGGGCAGTGCCATCCCACCCAGCACCAAAGATGGTATAGTCCCAGAACTGGCAAGTCCCAAAACCCAAAGCCACTCAGTCCTGCCAGGGTTCAGCTGAAGCCTGTTGTTCCCCATCCAGACCTCACAGCCTCCAGGCACCAGGATAAGACCTTCACAGCATTGCTTAATTCACCAGGGGTAGAAATATGTAACTCAGTATATAACCTCACCCCACGGCAACGGATGAGCTCACCCAGCGGCCTCATGTAGATACCAAATAGGAGAGGAGAGAGCACCAAACCCTGTGGCACCCCACATAGTAGGGGCTGAGGGCGGGATCTCTCCTCCCCAATCATCACCGACTGGAATCGACCCCAGAGAAAGGAGGCAAACCAGCCCAACACCACGCTGCCCACCCCCAGTCCCCTGAGCCGATCCAGAAGGATACCATGGTTGATAGTATCAAAAGCTGCCAAGAGGTCAAGTAGGGCAAGGATGGATGCACAACTTATTAACAATATACATGGCACATTAGGACAAACAGTAGATCCCTATGCTAGCAATTAATATTTGAAAAGGAGAGGAAGGGGAAAAAAGAGTGTAAAGTTAAATGACAGAATATATATCAATTACATGTATAGGAGAGGATGCCCTCTATCTATTGTTGACCTTCTCCACAAATAGCAAAGGCAGAATAAAGTATATAAATTGGAAATCCTGTAGCTTTGCACAATTTATATAAAGGTAGTCCCCAGGTTAAGAACGTCCGGGTTACAGACGATTCTTAGTTAAGAACAGAGCCTACTATAGAAAAATTCAAGTTAAATACACAATGATTCAAGTTAAATACACAATCATTACACAATACTACTTACACAGTATTATACAGTAATACTGTTCCAGCTTACATACAAATTCGACTTAAGGACAGAGCTTGGGAACAGAACTCCTTCTTAAACTGGGGACTACCTGTATAGCCTTGGCATAAGGTGCTTGAAGTGAAGTGATAACCCTCCAGCAAGTGGCTGCATTCAACCAAAGCTATCCAGAAATAGTTCCATTGTTCAATCACACTCTTTTGAAAGCAGTCCAGGAATAATGATAAGATTGATAAACAGATCCAACTATTCCTTTGAGTTAATCTTTTCTTTAAATCGACTTTCACATTTCCTTGCAAAACCAGCCATCTTTGTTTTCAGGAAGTTGCTTCTTACCTATCTTTGACTGGCAAGCAATATGACTGTGAGGTAACCACCTTAAACATGCTAACAAAGTGGCTGATAAAATAAAATCTGAGATCAGACTCTCAATATCTATTTTACTGATAGATAAATTAATGTTTAATGGCATTTATTAAGGACATCTACATTTCCTAAACTAACTTCTGTCTACCCTACTGTTGTTGCAGAGTTGGGCCAAGGAACCTGGGGCTGTTCACCTGTTTCAGACATCTGACTCTCAACATCACCTATAACTCATGTTGTCGGGCACTTCAATGTTACCCAGTACTGCAGTCAGGGACTAAATTTTGTGCATGCAGCCCTCAGTGTCATAAATTTTGTCCACGCAGCCCTCAGTAAGTGCCTAATTAAGGATTTACTCTTGTTCTCCAAATTTGTTTGCCAGGGAAGGTGTAACAAATAGGATGGAATGACACAGGAGGAGGTCTACAACCTGACATGTAGTAAACCATAATCCACTTTGGGCTCTGGCCTGCCCCCGTTGCCTGCAAACCCCAACAGACTTTCCCCACTGTAATCCAAAAGTGATTAATCACTCCTCCTGTAAATAACAGCATCTCCCCAGAGAGACAAACAGCGTCCTCTCTCCTGGGGTCCTGAAAAGCACTTAAGTCGTGGCTTTGGTCTCTGGCCTGGTTGATGAGTTTGTGCAGTCCCTGGTTTGGTTTGATTGTTTTAGTCTGGGCTGCCTTTGGGGTTGTATGTTTTTAAACTACTTTTATTGTTTTGTATTTGCATTGGTAAGCCGCCCAGAATCCATGGGAATGGGTGGCTGTAATAAATTTAAACAAACAAACAAAATCTTCTACATCTGGTTTAAAACTGATGCTTACCATGGAGAGGTGAGCCAGATGGGCTGCTTGAAAGCCCTGGCACGGGGCTGCAGCGTCCTCCTTGTTTCGTGGTCAGCTCCTGCTCAATCTCCTCTAGGCCCGCACTCTTCTGGAAGCGACTCATGCGGTTTACGACGCGGGGTGACATGTGAGTACGTACACAGGGGTGCCCTCCATAGGGATTGATGGGGAAGACGTGGGAGGTGCCTCGAAGGGTGCTAACTGCCACCCATCTGCAGTCATGGCTGAATGCAATATCTTGCACCTGGAGAGAGAATGGGGGTGGGAGTGGGGGTAGAAATCAAGTGGCATTGTTAAAGAGCTACACTAGATATAAACACAAAGGCAAATGAAAGCAAACTCATGGCTGGACATCCACTCCCTTGCTAGCCCGCTTGTCACAAAAGGTTTGTGCAGGTTACCATATTTTCACATCACTCCCTTTACTGCTTACCTACCCTCAGCCCCCTATTCCAGGCCCTCAGAAACCAGGTAAAGAACAGATTGTTCAACAAGTGCCTTCCTTTAAAGCACTTCCTCCATTTCCTGCTCAGGATGTATCTTGGGGGCAACTGCCCTTCTGGCCTTGCTCAGGCCATCCCAAAGGTCACCTGGTTGGCCACTACTGAGCTAGTTGGATCTTTGATTTGATCTTGCATCCAAGCTCTTGAACAGCAGGAGCCAGAAATCCGGGGCATCTCTCCCGTGCAAGAACTTTTGTTAGTGAACCCCCAGCTCCACCCAATGTCTGTCTATGAGGCTTCACCAGATACAGCCAGGATCTCTTCCAATTCACAAGCTGATTCTCCCAGTTAAGATTCCTACCCCCCTCATTCAACCAGCCTGAGCCCCACAAGGATAGGCAACCTATCTTGATAGCTAAAGTTACATGTCTCCGTAGACCAGATTCTGGAAGTCTACTGCATCAAGAGCTTGCATGTGGACCACATTACCTGCAAAAAGTAGTTCAGCATCCTTTTCTGAGATGAATGGAATGTTGGGCCACCACATTTTGCTCATATGTAGCCACTATCCAAAAAACTACTCCAAGATATGGAGAACCCATTCTTCATGCCATAAACAGTATTTCTTACAATAAGAGTACAGAATAAAAAAGCACTTTAGGAAACTGGAAGAAAGTGGAATCTGGCTTAGTGTTTCATTTTCAGAGAGAAAATAAGGCAGAATATTCATTTTCAAAAATAAAACAAGAAGATGGTGAAGTCTTATGCCTCCCTCAATTAGGCCACACTTTCTGCTAGATTCATTGAGTAACTGACCCATACACATATATAAAAAGGATGGATTAGTTCTCACGAAAGTTATGCTTGAACATGTGGAGGCAATGCCTGCTGAAACCTCAAAAGTCAGAATGGATTTGCAGGGGTACAGCATCAATGCCCTGTATGAGACCTTGTCCTTCAATGAACTACCAGAAGAGCAAAACAGAACCCCCACCCCCACCAGCACTGGCAAAGCAGGCCACAGCAG